TCAGTGCCACGGTGCCGTTCGGTTTAGCTGAACCCTTTGCAACGGGATGTATCCTTACTTATAAAGAAATCAATGCCGAATTATTTTTGTCATCGCGTGCCGAGTGTCATAATCCACCGACATTACAGTAACCATAGCCGAGCGATTATGGCTAGTAGAATGAATCATGCCTTCACATTCGACTGCTTATATGGACCTCTCTCAAAAACAGCGATATTTCGATAATATAATGGCATGCTCTGAGCCTTCTATGAGGTCTGGTATAGCACTTATACTGTATTAAACAGGCCTGTTTCGCACAAATGATGAGCCAGCAAAGGCGAAACAGGCCTGTCTAGTACTGTGTAGGAGCTATACCAGACCTCAAAAAAGGATTAAAACGTATTATTATATTAACAGACTATCACTGCTTGACGATGTGATAAAGCACCTATGATCATTCTATAGTAAAAATTATACTGTTGCGAATTATAAAATGCCTCAAATAGTTATACTCTCGAGATCACGAGCTTTCGATTGACATCAAGCACGATAGAAAAATAAGGAGATAAATTTGTTATAATAAAATAAAGGTGAAAAAAAAGTGCTGCCAAACTCAGTTTTCAACATAATAGTAGAAAATTTCTTGGAAGCATAAATCACTATGCTTAAGCCGCTTAGGCTTCGATGTTTTCGTTAACCTTGTCAGCACCTTATAAATCCAATTTCTTGAATTAGAGCCGACTGATAGTCAAAGCAAGAAATTCTACAGAATTTCGCTGAACAATTCAGATATGAAGTTAGCTGAGATGTCATTAGGAATCGACCAGTTTGAGGAAAAAATAGAAAAGCCTTGTTAAACTTTGTGCTAAGCTAAACAATTACGTCAAGGTATCAAATCCTATTGCCGCACAAGAGTCATGCACTTTATTGTGTTGGCAGTGTATCCTGTGAAAAGGTGACGTGGCGTTCCTGAGAGAGCGATTAGTGTGGAATAAAACAAGGGCTGTTCCTCACCTTCTCAAGCATTTTAGATTTTTCATTAAGGTGTATGTTTATGGAACGTCGACAAATTCCCGCAATTCTTTCACGATTTGCAAACAAAACAAATATTTTATTGCACATTTCGTAGAGTGAAGTCTCATTTCATTCTCGTAAAGGTTACAAACTCTTTAGCAAGATCTCATTTTGACAAATATCTCTAAACTCGCCACCAATGATTGAGCTTCCCTTGTCCCTTCTTGAAAGATTAGTGAGCTTCCCATGAGCATCCAAATCCTGTGTTGAAAGCTTATCAAGCCATACCTTGAGTATAAAAAGGCTAAACATTGTTAAAAAGCGGGCGTGGTTCTTCTGACTTTGGAACAGCCTCTGATACGGCAGGGTTGAAAAAATGAACGAAGTGGCAGACAGTCATCAATTTTCTAGTTGTCACGTAGAAAGTAGCTTTTTGCTTATAACGACTAGCACCGTAGTGACATTTTGAGTCTCACCTGCTTGTACGAAAAAAGATGTATTTTGAAATGTTACCGCTAAACTTAGGTCATCCATCGGTTGAAAGAATTACTAATCAGCGAACAACGACTTGAGTGCGTTACTGGGAGAGAATTTTCCCTTAGGGTTGTGTGGAAGTTGGAATGAAAGTCACTTACCGGCATTATGCACTTATACTCGATGAAAGGAAAGTTCATCGCAAATTTGAGTGTTGCTGATGATTGATCCGAATCTATAAATCTATTTTGTGTGTTTCGCGGTTGACAAATCGAAAGCACCGTCAGAGTTGCAGAATCATTAGCATTTCTGTGAGATTTTCATGAATGCACAATCGAGTTGAATGAACGATTTTGTGTTATAGCAATTCTCTTTCGTAAGAGCTTCGCGTAAGAAAAGTTTATAGCAGTCCCGTACTATTTTGATTGTATTGTTAAGCGGAACACTTTCACTTCAACATTTCTTGCACTGCAAATACTATGCTGTATTAAGTTGGTGAGTTTCATCCATTCCTTTCATAAAATGTTCCATCAAAGACCGTGTAAACAGAATTGAGTTTGTTCCTAGGTTACTTCACTTGGATTACTAAACATTTGTATCAGGTCACTTTAGCGTGGTCGGAGTCTAGTATGAACGTGCAATTCTTGCGCACTACTTCATTTGAACTGTATTTCACCCTACGCGATTTGTCTCAATGTGACATCATTAGAGCCCAACATTGGAAGAAACAATCACGATGCACAAGCCATGACAGCTCTGAAGGAGAACACCGTCAGAGATAGATTGTAATAAAGATTGATACCAGCCCTCGTGTGTACATATTAACAAAATACTTTTTGACACTTTGTCAACAGATTGAAATATTGACGTCCTTTAGCAAGGTTTGATGAAAAAGAGAGTTGAACGCTGACTATATAGATCGATCGCATTAGTTTCACTTTTTTGGCAGTATTATGAGGCCACAAATGTTCATCTATGAGCAATCATTGTTAGCAAAGCAGTCGACCACAGGCGAGAGTTGAAAGCGCGTCTCACCCATAGCATAGGTCACTACACCGCTGAGGCTACCGCTCTGCTACCACTCTTTCGTCGATTTATCCTATCGTAGCTGTCAGCGACTGATCTATCACGGGCTTTTGGTTAAGTTCACATCGACACTGGGCTCACTCAACCTGACAGCTGTTCGAGATGTTCAATCAAAATGAATTTTTTGTTCCTTACCGTTATCGCCTCCCATTTTGTGCCATTTTAAGACAGGTTTTTTCCCTACTTTTGACAGGTTCTTTCCCTACTTTTGCTCAGACTTTTGGTAATCAATCTATAACTCAAATCTCAGAAAAATCAACTATAATTTTTGATAATATTTTTTGAGCCTTTTATGAGGTCTGGTATAAAACTTCTACGATGCTAGGGACGTGTTTCGCCATTACGTGCTAATCAGTAACACGGTGCCTTTCGGTTCCGCCAATCCCTTGAATGGGGATATATCCGCTAGTTATAAAGGAATTGAAGCCGAATTATTCAAATTACTGCATGTCGAGTGGTCAGTTCACCCTTAATAGCAATGACCAACAGTTGAGCGCTCGTGGTTGGTAGAATGGATGATACTTTTACTTTCGACTGCTCACATAGACTTCGCTCAAAATATTAACAGTCTGATAAGATAACATTTTTTGAACCTTTTATAAGGCGCAGGAAGCGCCTAGGCAATTTTTGAACGAGGTCTACATAAACAGCCGAAAGTAAAGGCACGATTTATTCTACCAACTATGATTTCTAATGGAAAAATGTTTTTAGAATGCTGTAGCAGCGAAAATAAAGATGATTTTCATACTCGTACAGCTCATAGTGTTTTGTTTGCACGAGTGGGATTTACAGGTTTTTGTTCATATTTTAAGTACACATTCGTTAACATAAATCTCGAATATTCTGAGACAGACTTTAATTTTAAGGTTCTTTATAGGGCGTTGTGAAAGCGGTAAGAATATTACGCTTCCCAATGAGTCGTCACTTTCAAGACTGTTCAATCGCGCGGCGAATTTACATGTGTCGCATTGTTTTTTTATGCTCTACACGTTCATAATCTCTTTCTGTATAAGCATAGACTGTCTTGACTTATGGTCAACAGCAGGTTTATTCGGCAACAAGGCGGAAGTAAAAATTTGAATTCGTAGAGTGAAAAGACAATTTATGCAAAAAAACCTAGAAATCTATACGAAACCGAGGAAAAATTTCTGAATATGAAATAGAAATACGCACGATTATGTGCCCTGTGTGTGAAACTCAATTTTATTATCAGTACTACAGCCCTTGTCACCGTAACAAGCTTTTGAATGGTTGCTAGAAGTCTACCGAAAAATTGCTTTAGAGCAGAAAAAATTTTTTTTTACAAAAAATGGATCCCTCACCAAAAGAAAACTGTATACTCAAAGTACAGTTCTTTAGCAGTTTTATGGATGCTGTAAAAATACATCTAAAAGTACTGAGTGATATGCAAAATATTCGACTACAGGCGGGAGGTAAGCCCGCGTTTCGTTCTCACTGGAGACGCGTGCTATCACTGCATCACAACGGCTACCGCCCTGCTAGCAAACTTTCTTCGATATATTCTATGCTGCCAGCAACCAACCCATGATGGATTTGTTCTGAAAAAACTGGAGTGGCAGCGAACTCCTAGGCTCCCGAGGTGTGCTGATGGCACGGGAACAGTGGTAACGGTGAAAAGCAGTTTTAACTCCGTCTGTAATCGACTATTTTGCAGACCGCTTAGTAGACTCAGATGATCTATGTTTGTTATTAAAAACAATACAGGGTAAAAATAGGCACGGGCCAAATTGTAATTTCACCACTAATCAATCGAAAATTACTTTATTTGACAGCCTATTGCGGTGTTCTGATGTTTCGATAAACCCAATGATGTGGAGTGGTGTGCAGAAACGTTTGCGTCAGCCGGGATTCGAACCCAGATCCTATCTTTCCGGGAGCATGTGCTAAACCGTTGCATTTCTGACGCTCGTTTTGCACTCCACTCTTTCTACGCTACAACGCGTTATCTGTCAACAGCCAACCGTCTACGGTGTGGCGGGGTAGTCATTATCGACATTAAACCCACTTTTGTTAGAAGATATTCGGTTTAAATAATCATCAGTAATTATTTTACTTGACGACCTATTGCGCTGTTATAATGTTTCGATAAACCCAATGATGTGGAGTGGTGTGTGAAATGTTTACGTCAGCCGGGATTCGAACCCACATCTCATCTTCCGGGAGCATGTGCTAAACCGTTGCACCACCGACTCGAATCTCGATTGACGTAAACGTTTTGCACACCACTCCACATCATTGGGTTTATCGTAACATCATAACACCGCAATAAGCGGTCAAGTAAAATAATTTCCGATAATTATTGAAACCCTATATCTGCTAACAAAAGTGGATTTAATGTAAATAATGACTACCCCACCACACCGTAGACGGTTGGTTGTTGACAATAACGCGTTGTAGCGTAGAAAGAATGGGGTGCAAAACGAGCGTTGGTGGTGCAGCGGTTTAGTACATGCTCCCGGGAAGAGTAAGATTTGGGTCCGAATCCCGTCTGACGCAAACGTTTCTGCATACCACTCCACATCATTGTGATTTCACCTTTTGACCTGCTCAAATCAAATGCACAAAGGTTCAGGGTTCCTTTGATAGGCAGGAGCAGGGTTGTTAGTGATAGGCTTTTTGAATACAACTCATCCGGAATGAGTATCGAAACGGTAAAATAGTAGCTGATGTACGAGCGGTATTGCCTTGTAAGAGCCTGTAGTACTCAATATGACTCTCAGTCTATTCAGTCAGATATTCTCGCAACTTCAGAAAAATCAAAGATGATGGGCAAAATCAGATTCGTACAACGATCAGCTTTCTCCTGAAATACTCGGTGTTTTGATGCATCCGAATGCATTTCGCGTTCGAAATTTCCAAATTTATTCAAAAACCAAACCATCCATAGTAACTCCTAATTTCAAAAGCCACACTCTCAGCGGTGGGCGTGAAACTCTCACAATGAAGAGTGCCATAACGAAATAGACCACATCAAAGTAAAACGACGGTTTAGCCTGACTAAAGGCGCTGTTATCGCTAAGTTTTACAGGAAATCAGATCATCGCCCCCTTCGCGCAACGTTTCATTTTTCGCAGATGAGAGAGCAAGCCGCTAAATTCAATAAATGAATTCATTGAACTACCATATTTGTGATGTGCTCAAGTCCCTAGTGGGCTCTGGGGAAGATACCGCTACTGACTACATTGACGAAGAACGCAAACGCTTCACGCAGCATCTCCACGCTAGCACTATGAAAATTGAGAATCTTAAAGTTACGAAGAAATGCTTGTCTATACAAGCAATCGAGTTGACATGCTAACATGGAATCGCACGAAAAACATGCAACCGAAATTTCATGTCCGAACTTGTGAAACGTTGAAGAGAAGCGACAAAAGATGATCTAAAGGAGAGACGAGCAACATTCATGGCCGAAGCTATAGAAGCTGGAAGAGCACTTGCAAAGCCCACTGAGGCTTTGCCAATTACAAGATCAAGATGACCGCGTTCAACGCCTCGACGGGACACATACAGCTTTCAAAAGGACAATGATGAAAATCATCCACGATTACTACTCAAATCTCTTCAAAAGTCACATGTTCTTACCGTCATGTAAACTGCAAGAGAATTATATTGATGTCCAACAGCTTTTCCTTTCGAAATCCGACAGGCCATAGCATTATTGAGGAATAGAACAACACTTAATCCAAACAGGATAAAATCAGAACACCTGAAGAATCTCTCGCCAGTTCCCATCAACACCCTGGCTCGGTTCATTGCTAGCTACTTGTCAGAATGCAGTGTTCCCAGCCACTGGAAAAGCAACAAGACTGCGATGTTGCAAAAAAGGAGACTTTCACGATATAAAATATCGTTTCAATCTGATTGCTGCCCGTCGTCTATAAACTCTTCACTCGAATCATTCCAAACGGGATTGACAGAACACCGGACGAAGAACAGCCATGCGAACAAGCAGGGTTCGGAAAACTATTTCGTAACATAGACCATATCCACAAAATTACGAGACTCATTGAAGTTTCACGATAGTACAAAATATCGCTCTGTCTCACTTTCATCGATCTGAAGAAAGCCATTGATTCAGTGGAAATAACAGCGGTAATAAACACACTGAACTGCCAGGGCATCCCATCTCGATATTTAACCATCTTTGTGAGCTATATAAAGATTTCACAACCAAACTATCGCCAATCTATAACTATATTACCATTGACGTAAGAAGATGGGTTCGATAAGCGATACAATCTCGCCAAAATTATTTACTGCCTCACTCGATAAACGTCACACGAACAATAGAATGGGATGACATACCCCTCTCACCGAGATTAGCAGCGTTCTTGAAAAAGTTCCTCGCAAAGACCGTCGCCGATGTGAGTGTTGTGCTTAGAGTGTTTTGATTCCACACATTTCTGTAGCCCCCAGCGGTGTTTCGTAGCTACTCTTTGTAGTCAAGAAATGAAGATTTCATAAGCACTTATCGTAGTTGTATTGCACGAATGTAGTGTCCTATTATTCCAATTGTATTATTGTTTTCACTCTTCCATGGGAAAGTTGTGAAAAACCATGGCCTTTATTTTGAAGAATAGTTGATATTGTTTTTGTTTCTTTGAAGCCTTCTTTGAAGCGGCTGACTAGCACAAACAAGGCTGTACGAGTTGCCTGTAAAAAACGAGCCTCTCTTGTCCCTACAAGGCATTGAAACTACCTGTGGTTACCCATTTTCACGTTTAGAGTTCAGCAAGCTACCATACGTTGGGCATAAAAGGTAAACACGTTGAAGAAAATAAACGATATTTTTCCGAATGAAAACCTTGATATGGCAGGGTTGATCCTAACCTATCAGGTAACGTTATAACAGATCTCGAACCGTTTGTAAGGTCTATCTGCTAAATAGGCGCCTGTCTCGTACTCCTCAGTAGCATAGTCCCTCGGTTCAGCCGATCCTAAGGCTACACTCCTCTAAAGGAATCGGCCCCAAATAATAATTTACCGCAAGTCAGGTGATAGAATTCCTTGATATTGCAGAGGCCAGCAGTCGAGCTAGTGGCCGCTGAAATGAATTATACCCTTCCATTCGACCGCTTATTACTCGGCGTCGATTCTTCCATAGAGGAGTGTATCCCCAAAAGATCGGCTGAAACGAGGAACTGTGCCACTGAGTAGTCATAAATAACAGACGCTTGTCTAGAACTTAGACCTCACAAATGGTTCAAAACATGTTATACCATTGTCAGACTATTATTGCTTGTAAGCGAAGCCTATAAAAAAGCGGTCGAATGGAAATGTATTTGTCAGAATGGTAACGGATTATGGTGACCTTATACACCTATATCCAGCGTACAATTGCATACGAATCTTCTTTAAAAAAATTATTACTTCAAACAGGAAGGTTAAGACACGACGTTATTTTCCTGGCTGACACGAGACAATTCAACCAATTTCACTCCGTCTTTGACACCGAAGATGGACTTTTTCGTGGAAAATACGATGGTAGAAGTGTCAGCGGCGTCGGTGTTTCGTCAAGAGGAGTATGGCCACGGACATCTACTCATATAAACACTCATAACCCTTATCGGACGATTGTCGTTGATACGTTTTGGATCAACGCTCGCCTCGACCACCATTTTTGCTAGTGGGCCAACATCAAGATATTTCGAAGAAGCAGTCAAAGCGTTATGAACTCATGAAAGTTGTTCAACTCTTCACAGTCACTCAATCCTTGAAAATTTTAGCGCGAAAATGAAACCTATGAGAGATATGATAGAGAACGAGAATACGTTAAGAGGTCTTCTCGCCGCTTGGGCAAAAAAGGTGTAATCAATATGTTGAACTGTGTCAACGCGAATTAAGATTTTACGCACATAGTGGCCGAAAACAGTAGTGAATACTGAACACACTACGTTGCCCAAGCAACACATGCTTTCTGGTTTTTAATCTGAAGCATGTCTACATCACTAGTCACGACGTTATTACGTGATCCGAAACTTCTTTAGTGTTCCTCCATAGATAATCTCGCATTCAAACGTTACCGCTGACAAAGCATATACGATCTCCACACTTCCGACCTGGAACGCTACAATCGTGTGGATGAGACGAAAGTACAGTTGAAATACGGCTTCAGACATCTATTTATCCCAATCTTTTTTACCGCAAGGCTATCAAACTTGCTTAGAAAATGATGCCATCAATATCACCTTTGGACAGTTATCGTTATCACCTCTCTACTAGCTCACTATCGCGCTACTGATAGTTGTCACTAAATTTGCATTTCTTTGCGATGTGTAAAAATGATTCAGGTTCTTCACGTTCCAGAGAATCACTAGGATTACGACCCATTCAATTATTCTTCTTGTGAGCTTTACATCCAATTGAATCCAAGGTTAGTCATAAATTCTTTATTGAGTGAACCTTCATTACGAAACTTTTCCAATAAAATTCACTCAGACGTATCAACGCGCTACGTATTTTTAAAGTCGGCGATTTGGATGAAATTTTCCAGAGCTATTCGTTTTCCTTATGGCCTTCGTCTTCTTCTCGATCGAGTTAAATCTTCCCCAGTGGACGGCGCTCAGCTCAAGTACCTTATTCGGCGGTGCCCTTATACACAGGTCAAGTTGTTTATAGCATTGATTGTGTCCAATGATAATATTTGTTCTTCTCCAGGCAATCAATTGCAGCAGTAGGTATAACTATGCGATGGTACAACGCTCAATTTCACAACCGGCTTTCTTCTAACATCGGTATTACTAGTAAACCATATGATTTTTGATTGATTAAGCCTGTGGTTAACGATTGCTGCCCTTGAAAGCTATCTCACGTTCATTGAGCCTTATTTTCGAAGCACCCATTCCCTCCATCATTTGTGCGACATATTTTACTTGAATCGTAATGCCCTGAATAAAGACTCAATCAAAAACCGATCATTTTGCTTGTTTGATGCGTACATAAGCACTGTTGTTGTCCACAGCGAGAGGTTGACTGACGCCGGTTATGAGGTTGATGAAATAGATTCTGAGCACCCGCTGAAATTATAGTTTGTACATAAAATCAGTCACAAGCCATATCAAGTTTTCCACATAATAAAGACCATCGTTAGCCACGATTTCCTGTCAACGAACTGCGAGCTTCCGGATCTATTTGAATGAGGCCATTACTTGGGCTTTGAAACAAGGAGCTCCTGACATGCCTGTTCAATTTGATCATCAAATATCTCAAATCGGTGTCCACGCCGGGAATGCTCCTTTGAGCGAAATCGCACCATAACCGGACGGCGCAGCAACTGGACTATAGGTTGGGTGCGGTAAAACCTTAACTCTCCCTTGTTCATCAAACTTTTCGTTAACTCCTTGGCGACCAAGTTGAAATCTGAGCGCGGCACGCGACGTAGTCGAGCGGCGAGCTACAATCACGATGCTGCAGTCTGATAACAAATTTCTACTTTTATCGTCACTAAAAAAATTTTAATCGCATATAAGTCATAGGGGGTGATGGATAAGAGGTTA